CAAACTTGGCCCATGGGGGCAGGAGATAATGGTTTGGCTGCTGCCTTAAAATAATTATTTATGGTAGGCCAGCATTTATCCCCATATTGCAGACAGAAGAGAGGGATGAGGCAGGCAGGGCAGCTTGCCTAAATAAAGCTAAGGAGTTCATGACTGAGATGAAATGTGAACCAGGGATGGAGCCTTTCCTGCTTACTGACTCTCACACTTGCTCTTCTGCTTTTTCTCCCTCATGTGAAATTCTCAGGTGGTTTCCCACCTAGGCGCCTCCTAGAACTGCTTAGCGTCTCCAAGGTGACTACTTTTAGCCACAAGGTCAGGGACGGGAAACCTGGTTCCTTCTTAAGGTTGCTGGACTCCAACAGCGCCAAACTAGGAAAGGCCCATTCAGGGTGAAGACTGACGGGAGTCCAGTGGGAATGTGCTCCTTCTCCCCAACCCCAGATGTACAAGGCCTGCTTCTGCCCACCCATCAGGCGACAGAACTCTTCACATGCTCCAGGGCGCTCTCGCTGCTGCTTCACACATTCCTTACTCTTACTCTAGCCTTCCCACACGCCTTGAAGCACGAGGATATGACCCTGAGCGTGACTCGAGGGGAGCAGCGGGGACGCGCGCGCGCGCGCGCACAGCCCTCTGAAGTAACTGGGGAGTGAGTGGCTGAGGGGAAGCGGTGGGCGGAGCTCGCCTGAGGAGACGCCGGTCGCTTGAGGAATCCGTTTCTCTGGCTTCGATTGAGCAGGCGACCCTTCCCCTCGCCGCTCAGCCCCTCGAGGCGCCGGCCTTCCATTACTCAGGCCTTGCGAGGAAGAGACGTTCCCCCGCCGTGTCCGCCTGCACGTTCCACCTGGCGGCGCGAGGCGGGAGTCCACCCCCCCCCCGCCCCCCTCACGCAACATCCTCCCTCCAGAGTCTCGAGCGCAGGCGGCAGGAAGAGGAGGCGGGTGGGATGCTGAGGAGGATCCTTCCTCCTCCGACTGACCTTGTGCGTCGCCGCCGCTGGTGAGCACCGCGAGAGCCAGGCCGGCGCCCGCCATGCGCAGCTTCTCAAGGTCCAGCCCCGCCGAGCCCAGGCCGGATCCCGCCATTGCCCCGGCTGCGTCCAAAGTGCAGAGCCCCGGCGAGAATGACAGCAAGCGGCGGCGGCGGGCGGCACCCGGAGCCCGCGAGTCCAGCTCCCTTCAACCACGCCCCCCGCGACCGCCCTCAGCCTCTGGCTCCGCCCACAAGGGGAGGGGCTACCTGCCTCGGCCGGGCAGCAGACGTCACGGCGCGATGGCTTCCCCGGGGGTCTGTTTTCTGAGCCCCGTCTGAGGAGGAAAGGGCTCTCTGCTCTTCCGGCAGACCAGACCACCACCTCCTACCTGAAAGGCCTGCAGGATTTGCTTAGCAAGGGTGATGTGGGGGGCGGGGGCCGGGGAATGGCAGGTCGTGTGAGCATTAAAAAGGAGCCCCCAGCTCAGCATCACGTTTCCCATAGTGGCTGGTCAGAGCAGAGCATGAAAGCCGCAGTGCTTTCCAGCAAATAGTGGTCAATGGCATGTTGCATCTGAGGGTGGAGGTACACGACCCTGTAAGCATTGCAGATTTATAACCCCTGTGAATCCGAAGAGGATCCCTTCTAAAGGCAACTTTTATGTGGCTACTGTGTTGCTATCAATTTATAACGTTGCCTTTTGCCAGTTTCGTGTCGGTGTTCACGTTTCTCTCTATACCATGCAGCTTCATAAAACTCTCTGATATTATATATAAGGCCAGATTGCAAAAAAAGAACCAGCATATTTTAAGAGCACTTCCTTTTTTAATCTTTATTTGTCCTGTGGACACAGCCAATTAATTTTATCACTGTAGTAACACCCAAGGGCAGATTTAGGTCTAATGAGGCCCTAAGCTACTGAAAGTAATGGGGCCCTTTATATGTCCAGCTGTCCTTTGTCAACAACAAATTGTCGCTGTTTTGTGTGTTGAATATATGCTATATGGTAATTTATGGACCTAATTAGTATCTAAAGCCATTTGCACATAACAAAATATGTATTTTATCAAAGTAATTGTTGAAGTGAAATACAATTAAGAAGTAGTATATTAATAGTGAAATACAATTAACAAGTATATTGGGGGGGGGGGGCAAAAGAGTGAGGCCCTAAGCCATTATGGTTTGTTTAGCTCAGTGTTTCCCAACCACTGTTCCGCAGCACACTAGTGTGCCGCGAGATGTTGCCTGGTGTGCTGCGGGAAAAATTAAAAAAATTGAAAGATTTTTTTTTTAAGTCAAATTTTCGATTGGGGCGCCGTCACTAGATGACCCCTGGGGTTCCCTCCCTCCCTCCCGCTCTGCGCCTCCCTCCTCCTCCTCCTCCTCTGGGGAGGCCCTTCCTGGCTCTCGGCCAAGGCTTGGCGGCTGCCACTCACTCACTCGCTCGCCCACCCGTCCCTCCATCCCTGCACCCGGCCTCTCCCCCTCCGTCCCCGGCGCGGGGGCTGCCGGGATCCGTAGTCCCCTCGCCCTTGGGCTCTGCGCCCGCGCGGGGTGCGCGAACTACATTTCCCAGCGTGGCCTGGCGGGCCGGGCGTTTTGTTTGAAGCGCTCTTCTCCCGGCCATGGAATGAGCGCAGCGGCGGCGGCCGGGTGGGCAGGGGCTCTTCCGCGCAGACCCCGCGCAGCCTGCCTGCGCCCCCGGAGATCGGGCGGCAGGATGGAGCCCGGGGATCCCCGCGGAGGCGGAGCGGTGGAGGCGGAGGCTGCCCCCCAGGTAGGGCTGCGTCGGGGTTTTTTTATTTTTGCAATGCTGCATCCGCGCCGGAGGGGACGCATCGGACCGCGGGGAGACCCCTTGGCGGGCGTGCAAGGCAATGCATGCGTGCAGGCGTTGCATGGAGTGCAGTGCAATGCAATGGCAACGCGGCGCCCTGCATGCATGCATGCAACTTCCACCGGCGCTCCGGACTTGGCAGGTGAGGGGGGTCCCCAGTGGGCGGCAGAGAGAGCCGGGAGGGCGAAGGGGAGCCGGGGGGAGCAGCGCTGCTCCCCGAGCCGAGCCCGGGGGGAAACTTCGGCGTCGTTGCGCCGGGTGTTGGAAGCGGAGGCTGGCGGGGGCCCCTCACCTGCAAAACCTGGTCACCTCTCATATATTTCGTGCATTGCATTCATCGCCCGCTTTCTCCTCCAAGGAGCTCCCGGGGGCGCGCGTGGTTCTCCCCGTGTTATCCTCGCAACAACAGCCCTGCGAGGTGGGTCAGGCGAGTGGCCCAAGGGAGCACCCAGGGATTGTCCTGGCCAGGTGGGGTGATTTGAACCCTGCTCTCTGCCCGGTCTTCGTCCTCATTTAGCCCCCACATGTGCATGACTGTGCATGACTGAGGTTTTCCCCCCTCGTCTTGGCTATGGTGTGAGTCTGTGCTGTTAATTAATGGGGTTCTGCCTTCGGAGAAGATGAGCCAGCCCTCAAGGAGGTGATTATGTAATTTGCTAGCAATTCATGTCCCTCCCGGCGTGACGCTGCGCGCTGACGTCACGGGGCTGTAATGGTGGTGTGCCTCGAGATTTTTTTCATGAAACAAGTGTGCCTTTGCCCAAAAAAGGTTGGGAAACACTGGTTTAGCTTATACGTAAATCAAGCACTGGTCACACCAGTGAGCTGGCCAGAAAGATCCATGGTTATTCCTGGGGCATATCTATATATCTGGCCAACTCGTGATGAATGCTAAAAGTGTTTATTGAATATATGGAAAATAATTGTGTACAGCTGAAAATGCTGGCAGCATTAAGATAAATTCAACAGTGTAAATATGTTTTGATCAATGCAATAATGGAAAACCAACTGGTATAGTCTTTGCAAAATATTCAGGGATATAAGATATGCAAAATGAACCATGAAAAGAGAAGGGAAGTCTTTGATAGCTTAAGTTGTAAAATGTTTATTTGAAATTGTAAAACAGAAAATTTAATATAAATCATATTTTTTTAAAATGATGAATGCTAAAAGCACAAAGGGAGAGTGAGGCTTATTCTATAGTTATGAGATATAAAAAAGTAACTGCAACAAGTGTTCTTAAAATATGCTCTTTTGCAATTTGACCTTGAACATGTTGAATGGTACTAGTTGGGGAAGGGGAAGGATGCACACCTTGCATGCAGAAGATCTCTGGCATCTCCACGTAGGGTTAGGAAATACTCCTGTTGGAAAGCCTGGGATGCTGCTGTCAGTCAGTGTGCACAACACTAAGCTAGAGAGGCCAATGGCCTCTTTATATGAGGCAGCTTCCTATGATACTAGGGGGTGTTTACTATGCTGATCTTTACATTAAGTACTAAGAGAGCAGAATATTTACCAATGGCTTCCAGGACATGTTCAAGATAAGAACTAGCACCAGGGTCAAAACAGTTCATAATGGAGATCTCTTTTTATATCAAATTATGCCAATTTTACTGATCTATAGAAATAAACTATAAGTTCAGATTGACAAACACCATTACAGTGGAGCTAGGATGGCCAAATCCTTTAATGCCATTCTATTTCATTCCTTTAACTATAACCCATAAATCAGTCCAGCACATGATGGCTTCCCATTTAACATTTCTGTTTCTTTTTATGGGTAATTTTGGTCAATTTTCATACTCAAAATACCAGAATACATAATAACAAAAGAAGGCTTTTCCCAGCACCAAACTGAAATGCTCAGGCTGACCGCACTCTTCATGAATCACCATGTAGAAGACCATACTGGTTATTTTGCAAAATGGAAACATGTTTTCACGTAAAATTATTGTATACAATAAGATTTCATACAAGGGGGTTGTGGAAAGAATGGAAGACAGCTGTACTGTTGTGGAAGATTGTGGAAATTGTAAGTTAAGGCTAAGAATAGTGTGTGACTGCTGGATGCACCCGAAGTGCAAAAGACAATTCTCAAAAATTTAATTGATTTGTTTCTACTATGAGCTGTCCTCATAGACTTCTAACACCACCCCTGGAGACAACAAAATGGGGAGATGTAGAAGTATGGACCTGGGTTTACATCCCTTTGCCATACAGTCATATTACATTTTATATAAAAGCTTGTACTCTCATTTTTCTGTTGGCCTGAAATAAAGCCAGAAGTTTCCAGCCTTGCTTGCTAAAAGGCTTACAGCAGGATGTTGGGATTTTCTGTCAAACACACAAAGTCTATTGTTTAATTAAAGTTGGGAGCCCTGCATCACACAGACGAGATTTTGCTATCTGCTGAAAGGAGATTTTTCTAGTCGTTCTGGTAATATCCTCTATCTTGGAATTACTTAACTTAGTCATTGCTACTGATAGGGTTAATCAAGGCTGCAAGGAAATGGGTTTTTGTTTTAGCTTTGGAACTGTGAGTTAGAAATGGTTTAGTCAACAATGAAGAGAGTAGAGAGCTAGAAAAAAGAAGAATAAAGAGGTCAGGCAGAAAAGAAAAAGAGCAAAGCAAACAGTCTGAAAAGGAACCTTTCTTCATAGAGGTTTAAAATTTAGCTAGTGAAGGACATTCAACACTCTCAAGTTGATTGGTACTTTGAGGGTTTTTGTGTAATATTTTCTGCATTGTTTATAGTTGTTTAATGTTTACTGAGTTAATTCATGTTTTAAAGGAATGGGGTTTAGGAATTACTCAGCCCAGAGATGGATTAACCAGTCTGCATCCTCATATCTATATTGAAGAGATCATCCTGATATACTTGTTGGTTGACCATTGCTTTATTAGATGAATTGCTGGTTAATAGTGCAGGAATGGAGTGGTATGGAATGGTTTTCTGATAGCTGGAAATCTCTGTCTGCTTTTGAATCAGAATTTGAATAAAGTAAGAGAATGTGTGTATACAAAAGCACATACACACATGCATGTGTGTTAAAAAGCAATGGGTCATTTAGGCAGAGTGAGAAAGAGAATAGTGAGTTGACTGAAAATTAAGCATGTTGGGATACAGGATCCCTGGTGACCTGCAGTCTAGTGGATACGCTGCCCTGCAGAAGTGCTTCTGTGCCTTCACGTGTATTAGTAAATGCAGCAAATATCACAGGTAGCATAAATCTCTTGTGCATAGGATATTGGACCAAAAATGCAGCCTCCGGAGTAATCTAATTGCTTAGGGAAGTAGAGACTTTGCAACAATATGCTTTACACATTTGAGCCTCAAAACTGTGTATTAACTGCAAAAGTCCCTGTGAACCCAAAAAGCTCTGCTAGAGGCAGGAAACAGGTTTTCTTTTCCAGTGGGTATAAATAGTACTTTCCCCACAATGCCCTATTTTGATTTCCTCATCACATTTATTTCCTTCCCCCACCCGCTTTTCACACAATAAACTTGGGGAATCCTTTAAATAATTCTTTAAAAAATCATTTCCCAGTTATAGTCTGGGAATGTTGCAATAGTAATAGCTCTGGGAGAAAAGAGGGGCGAGGTCTGGCAAGGAAAAGTGTCAGTTCCTCTACTGCAGATGAGGAAATGCGAAGATAGATGGAATGACATGCTCCACCCTTCAATTCCCAAGAAACCCTGGGCTCCCTCCTCTAATCCTGACTGGGCAGGGTAGAGAGCTGGATCCCAGATTTTGTTTGCATTTCCAAAAGTGGTGGCTTGAGATACAGAAAGCTTGGATTTCTTTCCACAGACTACAACACTGCACAGCACCTTCAGCACTCCTGGATTTTGCAAACAAGCGATCACCTTCTGGGAATGTTACTCCTGCAAATAATCTTCGCTTGGGCTCTCTGCCACTGGGTGTATGGCGTAGGTAAGTGAAATGGTGCAATTCTACTCAGAAGAAAGAAGCTAGATTATTTCCAGAAAACTTCAGATAGCATGCAATCTGTTAAGACAGGGAGTGGTGTATGGGATAGTGCAGTTTTATTAAACTGAAAATGTTTGTACAGACCTTTTTGGGGTGGAGTCAGAGATGTCTATTACCTAGACATGTGTGATCTATATGCATATCTTTACTTCTGTATCAACCCGTCTGTTCAGTAAAATCATCCTCCATGTGTCTCGTCAGAGTTTTGAAGAACGTCTACAAAGCAGAGGGGCTTACTTGAACACCCTCCTCAAGAAGTTTGCCTGGCGCCACTCACAGCTGCTTAGGCATTAGACAAAAACATTTGTATTTATCCAGACATTTAAATAGTTATCGTTTTAGCCAGAAATCCTTAAAGCACCCAGACTAAACCTCATTCAACATAGTGGGGCTTCACTCTGCATAAACATGCACAAGTTGGTCCTGTTATTCTTTTGCTTTCATCCTTTTGTTTTTACGGTGTACGCTGCCTTGAAAAATGTTTTAAATAAGTAAGACTACGGTCTGAAATCTGGGTGAGGGGGGTGGAGAATCAGAACAAGAGATATTTGGGAATCTAGCCAGCGTTTGTAAGTTCGGCTTAGAGCAAGAGATGGAAACAGCTGGCAAGAACACAGAACTGCAAAGTAGAAACTGAGTTCAGCCTCATGTACAAGACCTGGTTATGAGAACAGCTCTTGTTGGTCTCAACAAAACAGACTTGCCTGATCTATTAAAGCACTATATGCAGGCACACACACATACTACTTCAGAGTTGTCATATTGTTCAGTGAGACATTCATTACGTTCTATAGAGCAATGGTGTTTTTAAATAAGAAGCAACCCTTAAAGGCAGGTGAGGGCACTCTGACCCTCCAGAAATTGTTGGGAATATACGGTACTATCGTGAGGGACGCGGGTGGCGCTGTGGGTTAAAGCCTCAGCGCCTAGGACTTGCCGATCGAAAGGTCGCGGTTCGAATCCCCGTGGCGGGGTGCACTCCCGTTGCTCGGTCCCAGCGCCTGCCAACCTAGCAGTTCGAAAGCACCCCCGGGTGCAAGTAGATAAATAGGGACCGCTTACTAGTGGGAAGGTAAACGGCGTTCCGTGTGCTGCGCTGGCTCGCCAGATGCAGCTTGTCACACTGGCCACGTGACCCAGAAGTGTCTGCGGACAGCGCTGGCCCCCGGCCTATAGAGTGAGATGGGCGCACAACCCTAGAGTCTGTCAAGACTGGCCCGTATGGGCAGGGGTACCTTTACCTTTTTATACGGTACTATCACAAGCTACATACTATCTGGAGGGCCACAGGTTCCCTTCCCTGATTTAAAGAGTGTCTTGACACAGCTGTGTTCCAGAAGCCCTGTCCTGGCCCCCTAAGCTAAGCACAGATTGCCAAAGTTGAAGTAGCATTTACTCCCAATCTAGTTAGCTTTTGTACTTAGCAGCAGGCAGCAAAACGTTTTCGGTTGACTCTGGCATCTATGCTTGCACCATGCACCAGCGTTCAAGGTCTCCTGCTAACCATGGTACCATTACATAGGAAGAAAATCTAATCTGGGATCTTGACTTTTCTATGTGGCACAAAAAAGTGCTCCACTACAATAGAGACCATTATAGCCCTGGGTAAATATCACCTACTACTGATTCGAAATAACTGTCAGCTCTTGGCCAGAATCTTGTGACTATTTGGCAGGGCATTTGACATAATGCTCCATTATTAATTATTATTATATTCTTATCACCATGCATCAAATGGTTTATATTTGTTTTCAGAGAGAGCTCATCATTCAACAGCAGCCTTTGTAGCAGGTATATTATAGCATCCTTTTTTAAGCTCAGTATTTTAAACAAATTCCAAGCAAGCACCGACTGTAAAAATTCTGAATTTTAGTTTCTCTGTTTAAACTGAGGAGAATTTCCCTTTTCGTTTTAAGCATGAGAGGGACAGAAATGTGCTACATGTAGGTAGGAAATGTGCTACATTCCAGATAAACAAAAATATGGAATACATATATAATACATTCAGAATTATTGTAACTTTTAATAAAGCATGCCAATTGGTTTAAAAATTCCCAGAACAGATCCGTATGGCAGATTGTGACCAAGCCCTACCTACCTCTCACCACCTTGACTGCACAGGGCTGGCCTTAACGGATTTTATTCTTTGCAGCTACAGCAAAATTCAAATTGATACCTCACTTCCACTCATCGTTAGTTTGAACTGCACACAGAGAGAGGATGGAAGCAGGGAAATAGCACTCCCTCTGAAATCTGTTTCCTGAAGTAGCTGCTTTTATCTTGCTTCAGAGAAAGGCCAGCCATATGATAAGGGGCTGGCATTTAACATGAGCACAGCATGCGCCGGCATATAGGAAGCTACCTGCTCCCTCCGCGAGGGAAATTTATTTCCCTCTTAGCTGCTTTCGAGCAACAGAGCCACCACAGGAAAAGGTGGTGCCTTCCAGTCTAGGAACAACAATGGGATGGCAGTCAAATTCATGCCACTTTCAGCCCTGGGAGTAGAAAAGCATCCCCTTGAAGGATAAGAAAGGAAAGAAACACCTTCCTTCCTTCCTGTATGAAGTTTCCTGTCAACTTTAGTTTTATTCACTTGTGGTTGCCTCTGAGCAAAAGGGAGCAAGGAAAGGCTAGTGTGAAAGAACGTGCTTTTGCTATTTCTCATTTGCAGGTGGCTGAAGGCAATAACTTAGGTTGTTCTGGTTTTCCTCTCAGAATCTCATGCCTTCGTTATGACTCACCTGGCCTACTTCCCAAATGACAGTTCAGTGGAAATGGTAGGTAATGCCACTCTGGATGGAAAACTTACCCACAGCGTGGAGTATCAAAATGAGCAAATGAATGCAAGCCAGTTGCTCCAGCTGGAATCTTTAGATCTCTGGGAGCAGAGGAAGAGTGCACTGCAAAATTACCTCGAGCTTTTCAAGAAAGTGGTCAACCTGTTTGCTCGCGAAAGGAAAATACCATGTGAGTATTATGGTGCGATGGTAATGGGCACAGTTGTTGCCATAGCAACTGTCCCTGCTGCTTAAGATGATGGTATCATTGAGCACCAAACTTTGGGACATGGTGTGATCACGGAGGAAATAGTTTATCTAGAGATTTGCCTATGATGGAAAGTATGGTGCCATTTACTGTTAAGTAAAATTAAGCCACAGAGGCAGCCAAGAAGCCAGCTCCTATTATTGCAGTCAGCTATGAGACCAATTTGCAGTCTGCGGTGGAAATAAAATTATATATTAATATATGCATTCATTCATATTATATCCCCTAATGAATACTAAGAACTGTTAAGGTACTTCATTTTGTATTATGCTTTATAACTAAAACATTCCAGGCCTTGTTCTAATTTACTTGCATAAGTTTGTCTCATTAGTTTGTCAAATAAAGACACAGGTTTACTAAAACTGACTTGCTAAGGAAAGCAAGAGTTGGCAAAGGGGCTGTATTGTGAAGACGCATTGCTTTGATTCAGCAAGTTCAATGCTTGGATATTTTAGTGGGCAGTAAGTGCTAAAACACCTTAATAAAAGATAAAATTGCCCTGTCTGATGTCAGTTCAGATTTTGCACTGAGAAAGTGAGATCTTGAACAGAAAAATGATCTGTCTTCTCAAAATATTCCCAGAGTAGGGATGCATTTGGTAAACCTTCCAGCCTCCTATACTGAAGATTATTTCTTCTGCCCTTATTACTTTCTGAGGTCTAGTTATTTTTTTCCTTGTCTATCAAAAAGTATGAAATAGGGACGTGGTCAAACAATTATTTGAAAACATGCATATCTTGCTTATTGTGTTGTATGCATATTTACACTTTCTGGAGAGCTAGCATTAGCTGTAGCCTGTTTGCCACCATTTGCTACTGTATATGTGAAATAGCTCTCTGTGGACATGTCAGGGCTAATTTCCCTGAGAAGTGCGGACAGAATGCTTCCTTAGGTAATTCAGCATAGTACAAGGGTGCATGTGAGAAAGATAAGAGGCCAGTTATGGGGAAAATATTTCTAACACATTCGCTTTTGTTGCAGACCCCCTACACATACATTGTACTTTGGGGTGCCAGATCTTTGGGAATGGCACCAACAGAACCTTCTATGAAGTTTTAGTCAATGGGACTGATTTCCTGAGATTCAATGCAGCCAATCAGAGCTGGGTACCTTTACAGGAAACTCCTGTGGCCAGCTATACCCGTATGCAGCTGAACAAATACAATGAAACCAGTGCGGACCCAGCTTTCTTCCTGAAGGAAACTTGCATCAAGATTGTAACAGAGCATACTGAAGTGAAAGGAGCCTTTACAGGTATGTGAAACACTGGTTATATGATGTCCGAGAAGCACTCCTACCCTGTGCAGGTTGTCCAAGGGAGGACACAACCAAGTATCCTTTATGGCAGTCTTCTTACCAACACACACTAATGGACAGGGATGGGTATATTTTGTGGTGCAGTCACACCACAAGCATAGATGTTGGAATGAGGTACAGAATTCTGAATCACTGCCTTTCTTTAAAAAGAGAAATATAAGCACCTTGTCCTCGACATGCTGAAGATAGTCTTGGGAGTGTTTGATGAAAGCAGGGATGCAAAACACCTGACAATTCCATAAGATGTCATGGGGCGACAGTGGGGTGGAGAGGCAGAAAGAGTGCAGCATATTACAGAGGCTTTCCTGTAAAGATCCAGACTTCAGGACCCTTGCTAGCTTTGCTGCTTCTGACTAGCTGTAGCTCTGCACACATATAAAATGCTTTATTAGCTGCAGAATCCAGAATTATCTTGGTGTAGAGAGTATACCAACTGACATTTGCTTTGAGTTTTCTCTTCCTTGCAAGGGACACCCACAATCTCCTGCTGAAGCAGTGGGTTGAAAGTGGACGAGTCCATCAGTTCAGTCATATTTTTCCCCCAAACACCATCCTACCCAACTTTTTTCATGAGCTGACTCAAATGTTTAGAATTTTTAGAGTGAATGCATTAGTTCAGACAGAAGCAACTTAAATCTTGAAAACAAAAGTTCCAATCCTTGAACCTATCCACCTAAACAGCTAAAGCAACATTTACTTATCAAGTCTTAGAATGCAGCTGCAACCCCTCAGTTGTAGAAAAAAACCTCTCAAATCTTTTTTTTTGCCTTACAGGGAAACATGAAGGACGTTCACACACTCCACTGGTAATAGGCATCAGCCTTGGTGCCCTTGCTGTAATGGCACTAGCTCTTTGCATCTTCCTATGCACAGGCGGGAAAAGATAGCATCTCAAGTATTATATGGACCAGCAGCTCTGCAGATGAGTTAACCAAACACAACAGAAGAACAATGAAGTTGGGATGGGTGAATCTGCCCAATTCCGTTTCTCATCTTTCCAATTTTAAGTCCACTTCTCCACATTTCCACATCAATCAGAATTTTATTTTAAGAGTCCTTATGTAAACTCATTATTTTAATGTGAATTTCTATGTCATTTCACCAATATATGCATTTTTGTACACGTTATGTGGCTGGAGAGCTGCATTGCAAAATTCGGAGGAGAGTGAATTTCAAAGGATGGCTATATTTTGCTTTGTGTATTTTTGTGTATTTTAAAAAGAAGGTGTGGATCAGGTAGGTTAGCATTTAAATGTAAACTGATTCAAATTCCTCCCATCCCTCTTTTTTAAAAATGTTCTTATGAAGAAATAAGCCAATGTCTATATAAATCTGTATCCCTTGCCTCACATCTACCTGTAAGAATAAGATGGGCTCTAGAACAGCAGCAAGATCACTGCCGGTCTCACAGGAATCGTTCCATCTCCTGTCATTACTACCAGGGCAAACAGCCTCTCCCCATAGAACTTTAGTGTTTCACCCACATCAATGGACAGACACCACAGAAGCACAGCATAAAAACAAACCTGAACCTCGTTTTGCTCAGTCACAGCCTCCTTTAAAGCATCCTAAATCTGGGAATTATTACTGCTCCTATTTGACATTATTTCAGTCCAACAGCGTAAGATATTGAGATGGGATTGATGTATAGTTTTTAAAATAAAGTCTTCACTGCCACAAAATGTGGTAATGGCTCTTGGGCCAAACTAATTAATGAAGTATAGGTCTATCCACGGCTTTTAGAAAGACTGGCTGAATGGAGCCTCCATTTTGAGGCATCATGTTGCTGTAGTGAGCGTGTGTGTGCGTGCATGTACAAACTACTGCCTTTATGCCCAGATTGTTGGCTTTCTGTAATCACCTGGCCGACAGCTGTTGAAACAGAATGCTGGACGAGAAGGGATGTTTGAATGATTCTGGATCCAGAACTGGGCATTGCAGCATCTTTCCCTAGTCTTCAGAAGCAGCAGTGAGATCACGCTATAGTGCAGAGCTTTCCAAACTTTTCATGTTGGTGACACACCTTTTTGACACGCATCACTTTGTGACACATTGATTCAGTTCTCCTAGCAAACCAGAGCTCAAACTAACCCCTTATAAGAGATACAGACACATATCGCGCAACACACCTAAACGCTGCAGCTGACACACTAACGTGTCGCAACACAGTTTGGAAAGCTCTGCTGTAGTGTTTCGTGTGACAGGTATATCCAAGGCACTGTGGTATACTTCAGCAGATTTTGGAGAAGAAAGCCATGTGCGACTCTTGTTATATCTTCATACCTCCCTTGGATATATAGCGTGCAATGCAGAATGATTAGTTTCAACAATAACAACCCAACATCTCAGGAATATCTATTGACTGGGTGAGTGAATGGGGGCGGAGGAGGAATCAAGAGCCACAGAGATGTCTATTTTGATGAAAAGGAAGCCAAGCTAGAAAGAGTGCTTCTCTTACCGAAGCTAGTACTGAGCATACAAGAACACTTCCAGAAGCCAGGACTCCCATTAACTTTCTTTCCACAGACTTCCTTGAGATTACAGCAGCAAGGGACAAACCAGGAGTTGCTCCTCAACTCTACACATTTTATCCTTGCAACAGATCTGAGTGGAAAGCCAAAACTCATTTAAAAATGCTCTTAGGAACATTAGACATCTGCTCAATCAAGCCTCACTGGGTTACACCCCAAATAGGTAAAACTCTTACTATTTCTGCAAAATAGCAAACTTGTCTCTTTCTGCTTTGAAATGGTAAAGGTTCTTTACTAAAAGCAACCCTAAAACCCTTCCAGCTCTCTCTTTAAAGGCCTCTTCTCTTTATACATAAAAATACTTTCAACAGTAGGAGGAAGGATAGGAAGGGGCTCGCTTTCTGAATGTAGCAAATGCTGGATATATTTTTTTATAAAATCACTCCAACTTATCAACAGTTATGTGGACACTTTCAATGCTAATCTATCTCTAGTTCTCTGTTCACATAGATTATGGTGACAATACATTGTTACTTCAATGGCTGTTATTTCAGATAGTATTAGTGCCAATACAACACTTTCATCTTCAGCAGAGAAAATAAGCACTGATTCACTCTTATCCAGCACAAGGAGCTGATATATAAAGAAAAAAAATCCAGCTAACATTTCACCAAGAAGAGAACATAAGCCATATTGAAACATACACAACTAATTGCAGGGGATATACTTCAGGAGCCTGAAAGATTTTAAGATTGCTGTGCTCATTAGCCAAGGGACAGTTTGGATGATAAAGGAAGAGCTGGATACCATTCTGAGTCTTTCTGTCTTGCATGAATGTATGTATGTGTTATCAACAAGTCTTCAAAACAGTTGGAAACAAGGGCAAATTCAGATACAAAAGTGTGTGTTGCATATATGCCCAGTGTTTGCAGGAGTACAATACCATATGCAGTGTGAAATGGAGGCAATGGTTTGTAAGCATATGGGAAGCTCAAAGTGTCCTAGGCTCCTGAGTGGCTGGGGCTACCACATCGCTTATTGCTGCAAACATACTTGTTCTGTAAAATATGAATTGGCTTTACAGTTCCCACAGAAGGCTACATGAGTATGTTGGCTTACATCAATTGCATAAAATGCAAAGACTGAATTTGTTGAACCACAGGCTAGGGAGGAAGTGTTTTGATGCAGTTTCTAAGAAATAGGAGGAAAGCAGCAACAGCTGCACAAAGGTGGATGAGGGGGGAGTACATTTCTCTTTTGGAGCTGCGTGGAGCAAATTCCCTATCAGCAACGAGAGTCTTATCACTTTCACCCCATATAACCAAGTGTAAACCTTCTCTACTCAAATGGTGCTCCGTCTAAGGGACTGCATAGTCTTTGCTTGCTGGATTGTATGTTTATGAACCACAGATTACAAATCCATACACATTTGCTATAGTCTATAAAGGAAACCCAGTGGTAAGTACAGCTGCCACTCTTAGAAATGCATAGTAAACTCTCAAAAATTTTCACGGACAGTGTCATGTACTGCAGCAATGCTTGTGCAGAACTAAATGAAAAACTGTGTGGTGGCAACAGCTACAGTACACTTCCACAGTATAAACAATAGGAAGTATCTGGACAGTTGTCAAACCCCAGAGGACAATGCAGAAAGCAAATGAAATTTCAACTGCAGAGATAAGGGTTTCTCATGCCTCAATTCCATTAGAGTGAGTGATAAGAGGACTAGGTATGTACAGAAATTAGGAGACTGAAAAGATTTTAAACCCATATTTTCCAAGCTGGGCCCAAGAACCAAAAATGCTAGCGGCAAATAACCCATTAGTTTAAAAGTCTGAAACAGAGACAATATAAAGTAAATTGGAGGGATAGGGAACGAGTTATGAAAATTCACTCAGAGGGGCAAGAAAAAGTAACATCAAAATATATTTTAAAACCAGAATTTCAAACGTGGTATGTGTGTTAAAACGCCTCACATTTCTCAACTGCTGGAGCCTGATTGCTCCAGATAGAGCACCAGTTGTGTCCCAAATAAGGAAAATTCTTTTACCGTCTTCTGATCTGTCCCCAAATCACCTTCGCTATTTGTAAAAATGGAGGGCTCAGCAGTCACTCCAACACCCCTCAGCTTTGTTCTATAACAACCAGAAGACTGCAGTTCATAGCACTGATTTCTCTCATTTGCAACGAAGTTCATTTGTCACCACTTAATATCCCTGCAGTCCATTGTACACCTTCTGCACTGATGCCTGTTTCAGCAGTTGTTTGAGACCTGCAAAAGATTGAAAAAAGTAATAACCATACAATGTTCCAAATCTGTCACAAGGAGGAAAGAAAATCAAATGAATTCAAGCTCTTCCAATTTTAAGCCAGCACATTCAGTTTCGATATTTTGAGACCGGCTCACTCAAAACGGTTTTGAGAAAAACTTCCAGAATGATGTCTATGCAAATACTCCCACAGAAAAACAGATATGCTACAAAAGCAATGATATTACCTTGGTTAATAACTAAAGCAGACTAGGAACAAACAAGACGCCTGGAAGAGATTCCTGACCTGTTTTTAAATCTCACTGTTTGAAAAGTTAGCAATATTTTTAAAATTGTACAAAGCAGCAATGGCTGCTCTCCTCCCTACCATCCCTAGTCTTCCAGAACATACCCCTGAAGAGATCCTGTCACTTTTGTCACAATGTCTGTAGTGGTTGGAACCATGTTATAGCCAGAGCAGCCCTTTCTGACAAGCTGCAGCAAACTGGTTGAATCAATATCTTGCAGCCAACCTATTCTAATAGATGGCATGCCTTTCTGAACACAGAATCTTAAAACTGGAAAATGACAGAATGATACCCACAAGATGGACACTTTAGATGACAAAGTAACTTGCAGACCTCAGCATGAAGAGTATATCAGTAAATGGAATTACTGATCAAACCATTTGGGATTTTACCATAGCAACACTATTCTAGGATACATAGATACAAACCTTCTCGTTGTTCACTTGTCAGCTGCTCTTTGGGAAAGTCTACATCAAATGTAATTATTAGAGAGCCTTTAATGTTATTGTTGTCGAAGTTGGGAAGACCTTCTCCTTTTTTCCACAGCTTGGCTCCAGGCTTTGTGGTTTTATCCCGGGCAACATGCACCTGGTAGATGGGAGTGTGGTGAAGAGTTTACAAGATTAGCATTTGTGACTAGATACCTTGACACATCAGCAACAACCCGCCCCCCCAAATATTTTAGTGTCAACAGATGCAATTATCCTGGAAATAACATAGGAGACTACTCTGAAAATGTATTATTTCAAATAGAAAAAACTGCCTTACCTTATGCCCATCTAAATGGGCAATATCCATTTCAAAACCCACAAGAGCCTCAACCAGCGAAATAGTCACATTAGTATATAAATCGTCTCCTCTTCGCTCAAAAACTGGGTGCCTGTAGGAAAGATGTTGGAAAACGTTAACATATTCTACTTGTTACTTCATCATTTTTCTGTATACTTGTAAAAGTCTCTAACTTTTAAAAAATGAATGAAGGCTTGTGAATTATCCTGTAAGTCTGTCACTCTTGTTGCCAAAGGCAATAAATCCACCTCAGTCTTTGCAGGAGGGGACAATTTTCTATGGGGATCATCAAAACCTTCTGCAGCTTAGCAGGTGCAAAGTATTTATGCAAAGTAGTTTTACATCATGGTCAGAATGGAACTGACCCCAGTATGCTTGAGTCATTTGCTCTAACCTAGTAGGGAGGTCATTTGTTGAATAGCTACTGAAGTCATGAAAGGGGCAGGCCTAACTCTATTGCAGTTACTCTCACAGATCCAAAGTGGATATGCAAGTCTTCTGCCAGGAAACATTCAGCTTATCCAGGTCTTGGGTAGTAAGGAGAGGAAGGTACTACTTGCATTAGAATCCTATCCATTTGGATAACTTTACACACACTTCTGTGTCCTGTGTGCCCCCTTCCCATTCCCCAAGGGAGGTCCACACACAATATGACAAACACTATTGTTAGGGAAATACTTTCCTCATTGCAGCACTTATACGGGTTACTTCCCATACAGGGAATACATGCATCAATACATGTTTGGAACACTTCATCTTTCAACATAATCCAAGGAGGTCTGCTCAGTGACTAGTTAATATATGATTTTTTGGGGGGAGGGGCGGGGCTTAATTTCTGGGTAAACAAGGCAAAAATAACTAAACGACTTACTTGAGAACTTTTATTCGGAAGCGTAAATCACCTGGCTCTCCATCAACATGTGGTTCACCTGTGGAAGTTTCAATATGGATTAGGTCTGGTTTCAAAACCATTTCACTTCCCACAAATGAAACCCAAAGGCAATTCTTCCCTTTAAGCTTTCCAATAGTCACATGATCCAAGAAAAAGATGTTTAAATAATTTATCCTGCTCTTACACCAAAATAGGATGGTATAGTAACTTACAGATGATACACACAAAAAATCCTCACTCAAGTCCCTGCCCTCATCTACAAAGTAATGATAAAAGTAAAATGGATTGGATGGCAGAAAATGAAATCTAACAACTAGTTGGGGTGAAAGTGTTAAAGGAAAAGAGGTGCCAGAAGTTGATGGTTTCTCAGCTGTACTGATGGTGTGGTCTTGTATTCCTTCTCTTCTCTGCTGCAGCCTGACAGAATAGCTGCTGCCAGGTGTCAGGGCGAAAACCTTGACTTATTAGCTGAGCTAATGGAAACCCTGCATCCCTTCCTTATTATAGCCTAATGCAACTGGTGCCATTGATGGGGGCATGGCTGCTGCCCATGGCCAATTGGAGGCTCTCCACCAGAGCATCCTCTGGAACTGCCATTGCTAGGGTAGCTGTGGGGATAATGTTCTGTGTAGATAGTGCTGAGTTAGAAGAGATGGATCTTTACTGCTGTTCTAGCCCCAAAACAGGTTCTTTCAACAAGGAAACCGATTTGAAAAATCAACTAGCTTTCTGACAAGTTCTATCCCCCACCCAAGTTCTTTACTACCTCAGACCCAACAAGTTATTAACTCCAAAGAGAAAGGGAATATTGTACCTTCTCCAATAAAGGGATATTCCATGCCATCTCTCACACCAGGTTCTATCTCCACTTCTAGGGTTCGCTCTTCATTTACAAGCCTAAGAAACAGGGGAGAAAGGGAGCACTTTAAAAAAAAAATGTTTTCTTTCTTTAATGATTGCACTATAGAAGAGATGTTTGCTTTTCTTTGCTATTCAGACCATGCTGTGCAACTGAACTACAGAAGTGTTGGGCTTACTACATTATGGAACCTTGGAGGTACACAGAAACAAGGTGTTTCCAGATGACTCAAGAAGTCATCTATAAGACTGCTGCAGGGAGCATTCACAAGTTCCATTCCATTCCATTCCATTCCAACAACACAAATGAAATGCTCTATTTTACAGGGGAAAAATCTATCAGGGAATCTATATTGGTGGGGCAATTATTCAAATTCTAGTCAGTAACCCTGGTTTTCCAACAATTTTCCTTCCTTCTTTCATTCCCATAGATGAGCTACACAATACACCACCATGTGGCTCAAAGTGGTAATTCTCTCTCTGTGCTACTTTCAACAGCGATGCATAATTGCAAACTATGCATTCACCAAGAGCCAGAGGACCTCAGACTCACTTGACATTGGGACATTCATCACAAACTACTTCTTGGGTCATCTGGAAACGCCCTGGGCCTAGTTGAGTTGTCCTCATCTCTTGCCGGCAATTGCATTTCCGCTTCCCTGGTGCCTGCCTTGCTACTGGCTTGTTTCGAATAACCTGCAGAAATGTAAAGAACCAGAGTCTCATATTCAGATTATACATATAAAGCACTTTAGTCTTGATGGCTTGAGTAAATGCACACGTTCCACTTACCTCAGCTTGCCACCTTAGGCTTTGCAGCTAGCATGTCACATATATAAGGACAAAACAAGGCAGCCTAGCAGAAGTGAGAGTGCTGCTGCTCCCTCTAAAATGCTTATATATTTGGTGGGTAGGACTGGTTGTCTCTGTTGTATTAATGGGCAATATCCAATGCACTCTGTTTGTGCAATGGATCCCTGCTACACCCTCCCCCAATCTATTTTGGAGGCTTGAGGAGACCCAGAAAACAGATCTGGGGGGGGGACCAGGGGGGAATTCCATTGTGCAGCAGAAATCCTTTGCTGGAACAAGTCAGTTCGATACCAACATATCCTAATTTAGGTATGTGTCTGAAGAGATGTTTTTGATAGCTGTTGACTGGTGAAGATTAAATTATGTATTTTAAAATGTGTATTCCTTATATCGTATGTTGCTAATGTTTTGAATTGTAAAGTTGCCTATACCTTTTCTGCATAGGCAACTCATAAGTTTAGTAAATATTAATAGCAATCTTGACCTACTTATGAATAGCAAAAGCACAACTTACTTCAATGATTTGTGAATACCTGCAGCAGTTAGAGCAGGAATCCACAAGTTTGGATAGGGCTTACCAGAAGCCAGCCCTTATTTGTGTCCAGCTCTGGTTGTTCCCCTCTGAATCCAAAGTATGCTCGAGGATTGAGGGAGGGATTTATCTCCCTTTGCAGAAGGTAGAAGCTGTGTTAAAGACTGTTTCTGAAAAAGCAACAGTAAATATGACCCAACCACTACCAGAAGTCTTTTTTTTTTTCATCAGTCTCATTTCACTTCACACAAAACTCTCCAGAGGGCAAGACGCAATTTGAGGTCGTTGCCACTTCCTTCTACACACACTAGAAGCAGAAATAACTTGGCATCCTGCTTAATAATGACGAAAGGCAGAAAGATCAATTAGCAAAGCTTTAGTTAGACCAGTTAAAATCACTGCAGCTGTTCCACTGGAACATTAGAACTACCAGCTGTTCCACTGGAACATTAGCAATACCCTCAAGACTAGCTCAACAAGCACTCAGGTGACAACAACATACTTCACTGTATGGTCTGTTAAAGGCACAAGTGCCAGGAAAGGCAGAAACCACAAACTCTCAGTAGCAATACAAAAGTGATAGTGATTTGCTACTTTTCTGTATGCCATTCACGGGAAGAATAAGCCTGATGTCAAATTTCAGTGTAGACTCTCATTTATGTTCAGACAAGAATATATAACTTCCATATCCCCAGAACTTAACAAAATAATAAGATGAGGAGTAGACTGGCAAGCTTACTTCCACAAAATTTCCTGAGTACACTTCTTCCAGTGTAACTTCTAGGTCCACAATGATATCACTTCCTCTTGGAATGTTCCTATCTTGCTGGCGAGGATTACCTCCAAACATGAAACCAAAGTCTCCAAAGAAACTGTAAAGAAACGAACCATCATTATTTAAGAGAAAAGAGTAATGAGCCTATTGTGGGGCTCCTTCAAATCAACTGGTAGGAAAGTATGCATGAAAGGGTTAATTTCATCAACTCAGAAGATTATCAGATTTGTATCAACTTCCTGAAAGGAATCTCTTCCCAATTTGAGGGATAACTTCTGTGAAGAAATAACTAATAAAAACAGGAAGAGGAGCTGCTTGCAAAAACAAAAGCAAACTGCACTGAGACAATCAAATTGCAAAAATTGAAACATGAAAAAAGCTTATGGGGTAATCAGAAACAGCTCTATTACTCAGTTTTGCATAGACTCTGAGCCCCCTTCTCAGTAAACTATACATTGGTGGGTCTGCCTAGCCTTCTACTAAATGAACAGTGTCAGGACAGAAAGGAAAGGGATGTATAAAACCTGCTTCAGATCCCAGAGTGGGTTTTTAAGTGGTTGTGCCCTCTCAGGGAATGAAAATATTACAGAATATATCTCCTGAAACAAGAGGTCTGCAAATTTGTGCATCATTACAAAATTGATACACATGTGGACAGGGAAAACTATACAGCTGGCTTAGTGCTTTTTTTAAAACTATTTTAAATATATTTACCTTGCTTCAGAGCATCTTACATAAAACCACTGATATTCTCAGCTTTAATATTGCTTCTGAGAGCTGCAGAGATTTATTAATCATATCCACATGCTACCTCCAGAAAATTATTTGGAACTGCTAACATGATAACAAAAAGCTGCTGTGCCTTGGAAATAGGAAGCCATGATACATGTTGGAACTGGAGAGCCACTGTGAACTCTGCCACGGCTTCTGTGTCTAGAGGGTTAACAGCTCCAAGAACCAAATCTGTTTCTGCCAAAATGAAGCAAACAAGGTAATCTCTGTTCAAGTGGCCTTGATATTTGGAGGAAAACTTTAACCCTATCCCAAAGCAAGATGTGAAATCATTGGGGGAAAATCAGACCCAGGGGCCAGAGAATTGTTGGAGTGCTTTCTGCCTTTGCTTTCACTATCTGGAACTTGGAAAATAACTGTTCTGCCCCTTGCATGTGAACTGAGCCAATGTTGGGCCTCTCCTCATAAGGAGGATGAAAATGTCCACATGGAGGACCCATTCACATCAATCAAGAAACTGAAGATTCAGACATTCTAGTTTGACTTTCAGATCCCCTTGGAAGCGTTTGCTCCAGCAGAAATCAAATTTAATTGGTTCTGTCTTCTCAGTCACAAGGGACTTAACTCTTCCTTGCCTCTTCTATAGCTGATTTTTTAAAAAAGGAATATTCACTTGTGTGATATGGATTCAGTGCAGTGTCTACTCACCATGACAGACTTCTATTGCTGTAATATATTCTTGTACATGTCACTCATTATGAAAGAAGCCAGAGAAGAACCTCAAGACAATAAACTACAGCAATAGTGCTGGCTGCAATGAACTACCAATGCTATCCCTTCACTGTAAAGCTTGTAATGTTGGGCAAATATGTTGGAGAAATAAAACAGACTTACTGTGAAAAAATATCTCCATGAGAACTCTGGTGACCCTCTTTCAATCCCTCTTCTCCATATGCATCATACTGCTTTCGCTTTTCCTCATCTGACAATACCTGCAGGAGATAACAGTGTGCATCTATGTATCAGGCAAAACTTTAACATAACTGTTACAAAGCAGTGAAATCTGGTATTAATTGGTTCCACGTCAAGTGGAAACACGTTCCACTGATTTTTGTCAGGGAAATGCTTCAGCAGTGGGCTTATGGCAGCCTAAAATGTTTGTTTGCTTGATTGCACTTGATGTCTTAAGGCTGATGGAAGATTTTGAATGCAGTTATTCTTGGAACTGCATGGAGACTCAGCATTATAAAACCTATGAACAATGGATTGTGTCCAATATTGTCACTCAGCTGCCAGTAAGGTTTCAATTAGCAGAATGAGCAAAGAAACATTTTTTGGCAATTTCCCACTGGCAACCCCCTCTCCCTTGGACTCTAGAAGGTTGGAGGATCCTCCAGAGAAGATTTAGGTGCAGGGGGAGGGGGGAAATCCAAAAAAATCCTCCTCTCCTTGTTTTAACAATGGAAGCTTTATTGTCAGTTGAGCGACACTTTTTGATATAACCAAATATGCAAATATTTAAACAACAATTTGTGACTTTTATTGACACTGCAGTTGAGATAAGCAACAGTCACTGGTTTCCATTCTCAACCTGTAATACAGTGAAAGCTGTAGAAGGCCTTGCAAAACATTTTTTTCATTGTCCATACTTTATAATTAGAAGATGTATGCCCTATGTGCTTCATTTGCACCCCAATCCTATGTTTACACAAAAGCAAGTAATAAAAAATTTAGCAACAGGCAAGTTAGGGTTAGGGTGATTAATTGCATATTTAATAACATACTGCAGACTTTAATTTCAGCATAAGAAGCGGTCAACTAGATAAAGCTAGCTTGCAAGCTCCTAGTACAATAGTTCTTATTTCTCTAGAGTTCCCTTCCTGCCAACCCACACTACTGTGCATTCCATGCTGCAGCCTGTTCAAGTATCTTGATTCATTGAATTTACAGAGCAATGGATAAACTGTGCGACTGTTAAAAGGGGATTCCTGTTCTTCAATTCAGAAAAGAGAGATCTGGCTATCTAGAAAAAGCTAGCAGAAACATTAGGCATGAGCAATGCATAAAATGTTTAGAATTTCATCTGTTTACCTCCCTCTGCCCATAACATTCCTGAGCTTAATTTCTGTAACGTGTCATTCAGTGGTTAGGCCAGTGTGCTTTTTTATCCTTATCAGGAAGATGCGCCAGAAAGCCAGGCATGGCCTATCTAACACTAAAATCTCCACTTGTACATTAGCTTGGACTAGCATGTGCAAATACAAGAATCACAACTGTGCTCACTTTGGGCTCCCTGGAGATGCCATCTGGACTAAATATAAAATCTTTTGTTGTAAATTCCTTAAGAGGCTTAAAAAAAGAGCAAGCATTATATAAATTTTGTTAAATAAATCCTTCACCTATGCTCCCAAAAAGCACAATAACAGGCCAACCAACAAGCTAATGATTTTTTGTTAACCAGCCATTAACTTCAAGAAGTCCTTTCACAATGTCAATTTAAAGACAATCGGTAGAGCATGTTAATTCGGCACAGATAAAATGCAGATATGATACATTTTGTTGCTAATGTAAAAAACAAACCTGTGTTTTGTCTGTTTACCAAACTTAAAACCATCTACAGACCATTTTCAAATACAGATGTACCTTGGAAGTCAAACGGAATCCGTTCCAGAAGTCCGTTCGACTTCCAAAACATTCAGAAACCAAAGCGTGGCTTCTGATTGGCCAACTGGAAGCTGCAGAAGCCCCGTTGGACGTTTGGGTTCCAAAGAACGTTCGCAAACTGGAACACTCACTTCCAGGTTTGCAGCGTTCGCAAGCCAAAACATCCAAGTACCAAGGTGTTTGGGATCCAAGGTATGACTGTATAGGTGTGTCTATAAATTATCCTAAAGAAATGAATGATAGGAAAGGGGATGGAGATGACTTTCCAAGAATGCCTGTTAATGACACTCTATCATAACCATGCTGTAGTTGACTTAAGACATTGTCCACTTACTGCTCACTCTGCTAAAGTTTTGCCAAACAGCAAAGATTGAAACAGAGAAAGCAATGGGTGCACTAGCTGGGCACAGACTTTCCCTAAATACACCAACCTCATAGGCAGCCCCAAGATCCTGGAATTTTTCCTGCGCACGTGGATCATCAGGATTCCGGTCTGGGTGAAGCTGCAGGGCGAGTTTTCGGTAGGCCTTCTTAATGTCTTTAACAGATGCACTACGGGGCACACCCAAGATCTTGTAGAAATCTCTCCTAAAAGAAAAACGAAGCCAGTTATTGTTGTGCATCTTCTTCCTTTAATGCAACCACATATTCAGGCTACAAGTTAGAGAACAGCAGGAGGGCTCCGTTTCCTTCTTCCCCTCTAATATTGTTGCTTATAACTTGTAATTATAACTTGTAATAAAGCTCTGCAAGCATGGCTTACAGAGAATGTCAGAAATGGTGCCTCCAAGGATGTATTAGAACTTTCAGCCAGAGAATACTTGGAGGGAAGGTCCTGTTTTTAAAATGTGAGTTCACTGAAAACCACATGCCTTATACACAGTAAGTCTCTCTCTAATAGTGCAATCCTAAACACACTTACTAAGGAGTAAGCCCTACTGAACACAGGGAGATTTACTCCAGAGTAAATAAGCTTCAGATTGCCCTATAAATGTACTATGTGGTCTTAATCTACACATTAATAATATGCATATTCCCAAGTGTCTACTCAATGCCTGTGTCCCCTGAGGGAAAAGAAAAAAGAAGAGAAACACAGGCAAAAATTAAGGAGCTGATGTGATAAGAAGGCTACAATAGTGTGTTTGTGTGTAGGCATGCATACATTAGTATTTAAACTGGATACCCCTTGAATACATTGGCAGAAAATGGATGCAAATAAAATGGGATGTGAAGTATATGAAATAAAAGGTGTTACCAAATACACAATTACAGTGAAAAGAAAAACAGAAGGCTTGCTTGGTCCCCACTCTTAAGCTTCTGCCATTTATTGAAAGCATTTGTGGTCCAGTAGGCTTTTGGCCTGATGGACTGAATTATTTTAATTCAGTACAGTCTTAGTAGACTTATATATGTTAGGCATTTATTATTTTAGGTAAATTTATATATTGCCTTTCTTCCACTACAGAACTCCAAGTCGTGTACATGGGGTTGCAAGACACACGCTCTTCTAGAAACAAACCAAACCCAGACATACTTAGCTCCAATAAGGTGGCTGTATTGTAAAAGGCCACAGCCATTTATTTTAATTGTGTAAGCTTCCCTGTTTATTGCAATTTCAATAGAAAGGAATGTATAAGCTAACAAATAAGTGAATTTACCTGCGGGATTTATGATACTGTACATTCTCAACCAACGTCACGAGAAGGGACAAGCAAACAGAAGTTACACACAAACTAACATTGGCTGTGTTTTATCTTGGAGTTCCCAGACCTTATCTTTATTCAATGTCATTTGGGGCAAGCCTACACATATTTACTCAGAAGTAAGACACCCTGTGTTCAATAGCATGCTCCTGTACTTTATTTATTATAGATTTATATTTTTATATGTTTTAATTATTTCAAAAAATTGTACACAGCTTAATCACACCGATCCCTAAGTGGTGTAACCAGGTGACTGGCAAATTCAATTCACAAAACAATCAAAATATAAAAATAATACAAATAGAAAAGGCATAAAAACAAGTCCAACCAAGATAAAATGGATCAATCTGAATTAAAAAGTCTTGAGAAACAACAAGGCCTTTCCCTGAACCCAAAATGACATCAGAGTGAGTCTCCCTGGGAGAACATTCCACAACTGGGAGGCTACCACTGAGAAGGCCCTTTCCCCAATATTCACCCAACTGTACCTCAGATGGCAGGGAACCTAAATAAGTACCAGTTATGAAGATATTAATGTACAGATAGGCACACAAGGATAAGCGGTCCTTCATGTACCCTGAGCCCCATATCATAAAGGGCTTGAACCAGCACTTTGAATTGGACCTTGAAATAGATTTGGAACCAATGCAACTGATGAAGCACAAGCATACATTATCATAATGCCTAGTGCCAGCTAGCAATCTAGCAGTTGTAGTTTCTAAACTGTCTCAACATGTATTTTTAAATTAAATTTGTATCCTTCCATCCATTATAAATTACCTCAAGACAAGTAACAACCTCTAAAATTAGATGAAACCAACAAGAGCATAAAAGAAAATATACAGTGCAACCCTAAAACAATTGATCAATCTACCTATCATTATCAAACCATACAGGTTCTTACACCTAACATACTCAAAAGACCTGGAAGAAGGGCTAGGTCTTCAGCCTGTGCTGAAAAATGTTCAGTGTTGGCATCAGTCAAACGTCTGGGACAGTGTGTTTCACAAGCAGGTAGCAATTGCTGGAAAAGCCTTCTGGTGAACCAGACTCCCAAACCTTACTCAACAATATTACCAAAAGCGCCTCCCTGGCAGACTTCAAAGCTGAGACAGCACAATGTAGGGGGAGGTCCCTTTCAGGAGGTTACTGGATCCTATAATAATGCATCACAGTTGTCTAATCTGAGGGTTATCAGAGCATGTATAAATCAGTAAAAGGTCTCCATGACAGCAACAACCTGCACCTTGACAATGATGGATCAACTATCCCCATGCTGTGAACCTGTTTCTTCAGAGGAGACAAACACGTCCCCAACATGTCCCCCCTTTTTTTGGATCAGGCCACAGTGTACTGGCCTCCATTCAGTTCCTGCCTGTTCCCAGTGCACTAGCATCTCAACCCGTACAAAAACGCAATGTGAGAGGCAGCACCTACTTCTGTGCCACGTACCACATCTATAGGGACGCGGGTGGCGCTATGGGTTAAACCACAGAGCCTAGGACTTGCTGATCAGAAGGTCGGCGGTTTGAATCCCCGCAACGGGGTAAGCTCTCGTTACTCGGTCCCTACTTCTGCCAACCTAGCAGTTTAAAAGCATGTCAAAGTGCAAGTAGATAAATAGGTACCGCTTTGGCGGGAAGGTAAATGGCGTTTCCGTGCGCTGCTCTGGTTCGCCAGAAGCGGCTTGGTCATGCTGGCCACATGATCCAGAAGCTGTACCGGCTCCCTTGGCCAGTAAAGCGAGATGAGCACCGCAACCCCAGAGTTGACCGCGACTGGTCCTAATGGTCAGGGGTCCACATCTATAACCTGGCTGTCATCAAAGGAGCCCAAGGCAGTGGGCACAGGCCTTCCTCCAATCTCTCACAACAACCACCCTGTGGGGGTTGGGCTAGGGTGGGCTAGGCTGAGCGTGGTCTGTTGCTGAATAGGGCTTTCAACACAGTCCTGGCCGGATAACTCTGATACCCCGAACCACAGGCGGAAATACACGACCAACCGAAACTCCCTCGTCTGCACAAGCTGCGAAAGCGGCAGCAAAACCGGCCTTCTTCCCGGTCACCCTGGGCGGGGGGGGGGTCCGAGGGGGAGGCGCCATAACGGCCGTAACCGGGGAAGGAGAGGAGAAGACAGGACCACCCGCCCCGCGTGGGAAGAGGAAGGCGAGAGCTGCCCCTGTGAGGAAGGGGAGAGGTGGCGGCGAGGGGCGGGCGAGACGAAGCCCCCTCGGCGGCAGTGAGGGGCGAGGGGGGCTGGAGGGCTCCACCCGACCGCGAGGCCACCTGCCAGTACCGGTGGGGCGGCGCCGTTTCCTCCCGGTCCCTTCCCGCTCCCCTCGGCTCACCCGGCGACGGCGTCTCCGAGCAGGCACAGCAGAAGCAGCAGAAGCCCGCCGAGGGAGCGGGGTGACATGGCGGGAGGGAGGGGGGGTCTCTTCGAGCAGGTTCCAAGCGCGCCCCCTCTTCGGCTCCTCTCACACGCCGGTAACCATAGGCACGCACGAAAGAGAACCCGGTGAAGCTAACCGCCCAATCAGGCTCCGACTCGGCGCGCGCCGCTGGCCAATCACAACCGCACACTTCACCCGCGGCCCGGCTACAGCCGCCCAACCAGGCTTCGAGACGTCAACAAATGGGGACGGGGCGAAGCCGCGCGTCGCTGCCTTAAAGCGTAGCGTTGGGGCGTTGCGACGTTCATTATTATTATTATTATTATTATTATTATTATTATTATTATTATTATTATTAATCATTTTGCCTGCGGCTCCTTATGGATGGTTTGCTGCAAACGGGAGGACTTTAGAAGTTATTATTAAAAAATCAATCATGAGGATGATCGAAATGAATGACAATCAAAACGTCAAGCGAATGCCATTTTCAGTTTTCCTTTAAATGCCTTTGTGTGAGGCGGAATTGGGGAGCGCTTTATCCCCAGATCTGTGTTCTTTCCCGTTTCTTCGGGGGTTGCCCCAACAACAGCCTTGCGGTGCCTAAAGAATTAACAAATACGTTCATGCCATAAATTGTATACTAGACAGTTCACTGCCGGATACCTGAAGTGTTTTCCTCAGTTCTGGCAGATAAATTAACATCGGCATATGTGTGCGAGGTGAGGGGATCAAAGCAGGGGGGTCAAATAGCAGAGAAATGTAAGAATCTGCCGATTCCTCCCCTCCGCAGGGGGCGCAGTTGCCTCTGCTCGGCCTCTCCGCTAGCATTCGAACTGGACTACTACACATTTTTAGCGGAAGTGCTGAAAGCTAGTAAGCGGAGGGGGCGGCTGTTGCTCTTGCCACTTGCCGGAGATTCGAAATGACGGCCCTGCCGCTCTAGGCGAGCATTTCTCTCTTGGGTGAGTGTTTTATCTGCGGGTGGCGTCCAGATTCGTCCGTGCGCAGGCGCAGTGGTGGGCGGAGGCCGCGGGCTTTCGAAAGTAGCTCGGTCGGCGCAGCCGGGTCGGGAAAGGCGCCGACGGAGGCGCGCAGGTAACGGGAGGCGGGCGGGAGTTTCTTTCCTCAGCCTGAGGCGGGCTGTCGGGCCCCACCTCCCAGGCGGGAAACGCCACAGGCTGAGGGCGGACTTTTCCTTTCTCCCCTGTTTCAGAGGTTGGAGCCGTCCTCCGCCTCCTCTTCCTCCCTCTTGCCTTGGAGCAGCATCCCCCAACTCGCGGCCCTCCAGATGCTTTGGACTACAGTTCCCATCATCCCTGACCACTGGTCCTGTTAGCTAGGGATCATGGGAGTTGTAGGCCAAATAATCTGGAGGGCCGCAGGTTGGGAATGCTTGCTTGGAGTCTTTCATGAGAAAATAGGGGTCGCCCTTTCATTCGCTCTTCCCCTCAAAAAGCGGGACTTCCAAATGCACGTGGAAGGGAGAAACTTTCCGCCTTGTCCTGCTGCACTTGACATGAAGCAGGCATTGGGGATTGGGGCTTCACTGGAGTGCCCTCCGTTACTTGTCAGAGAGGGGAAATGTGCCAGTGTTGACTGAGGGAGCAGCGGGATGCAGTGAGGAAACCTCTCTCCTTATACAGTGGTACCTCGAGATGCGAACGGGATCCGTTCTGGAGCCCCGTTCGTATTCTGACGCGTCTGCGCGGGTTGCTTCCGCGCATGCGCGTGAGGTCATTTTGAGCGTCTGCACATGCACAAGTGGCGAAACCCGGAAGTAATGCGCTCCACTACTTCCGGGTTGCCGCAGAGCGCAACTTGAAAGCGCTCAACCCGAAGCATATTCAACTTGAGGTATGACTGTACTACGGAATCAGCTAGAGGACAGAGATTTTCAACTGGTGGGTGGGAATTGCGGTCTGAGACAAGCTGGGTCTCATTGGTTTCATTAAAACCGTTGCCAGTTACTCTTCAGCCGTGGCTCTTCTCAGAGTGGCATACTAAGTACAGTGGTGCCCCGCAAGACGAATGCCTCGCAAGACGAAAAACCCGCAAGACGAAAGGGTTTTCCGTCGCAAGACGAAGTTCCCTATGGGCTTGCTTCGCAAGACGAAAACATCTTGCGAGTCTCGCCATTTCCCCCCCCGCTTCCCCCCCTTTTTCAAAGCCGCTAAGCTGTTAATAGCCTTTTAACAGCTTAGCCGCTAATAGCGCTAAATCGCTAATAGCGCTAATCCGCTTAGCCGCCAATGGGGTTGCTTCGCAAGACGAAAAAACCGCTAGAAGAAAAGAATCGCGGAACGGATTCTTTTCGTCTTGCGAGGCACCACTGTAAATGGATAAAAACACAATTAAAACATGAATGTTGGGAAATAATTTTTAACACCCCCCCCCCCCGGAAATCATTTGCTTAGGGAAATAAGAAATGAGGAGGAAGTTTGAAAGGTGGGGTGCTATAACTGGAAAGTCTCAATCTCCTTTTCCCCACCTGCCTTAACAGTAACATGTTTTCTTGGAACAAAAAGTTGCAGGGTGAAATTTGAGGTAGTAATTTTTTATTTAAATTAATAATAATAAAAAATCAATGGGGGATGGGGGACACACATGGACCTAGGGGAACTTGGAAAAGACCCATAAAAATACTTTGCAAACACAGGTATGATAGCATTCTGTCCTGCTGCCTCTGGTAACTAGCACACAGAGGAAGAAACTTGTATGCAAAGCAGCAGGAAGACTGTTGAAAATAAAGTTTGGGGCTTTAGAAATAATGAAAGCTTGGCCTGCTTTCTGGAGTCTGGGCAACAGGAGGTATGTCTATCGTAATATTGTCTGGCTTTGAGGCCATGTAGTAGTACATGACTCTACTGTGCCTTTGTTGCCTTGAATAGAGATGCCATTATTGAAGAGTTCCCTATATTGAGTGAGCTGCTACAGTAGAAACTCCTGAGCGTTTTCCTCTTATGTACTGTATTCCATCTGCTCCCTCATTTGCATGAGCAAAGACATATGCAAATGGGAGTGTCTAATGTGAATAAGAGAATGGTTTGCCCAAGCTTCCTGCTGTTCCTTCTGAGGAGGAGGGATTAAAGAGCCAATGTTGTGTGCCTTTGAACTTTGACTTAATTCAAAATACAGCTTTAGCTAAAAATATTTGCCGGTCGGGGCTATATGGCATCCAGTGACTGGCAGAACCCACTCAATATATTTGAAAGTTTAATTTCTGAATAGTCTTTTCTGTGTTATGTAGAATGAGTGTGTGTTTGAGACTGCAAATGTTTAAATATAGGATATTGGGCGAAAAAGAAGGCATAATAGAAGGGGGAAATAGACCATTGACTTCCTTGCAAAAAAGTTTGATCTGAAAATATGGAAATGTGTATTTTTTAATGGTTGAACTAACTTCTTATTTTCATTTTCTTGAAAATATAGATGTGAGTTTTGTGGATGGCAAACATGGATCAAATCAGTGTCAATCTCTGGGTGAAAATGGAACCTTTTATAGTGGGAGCCTTACAAATCCCACCTCCCTCCAAGTTTAGCATGCATTATCTTCGGAAGATGTCAACTTATGTCCGGATGCGCTCCAGTGAAGGCTATTATCCACACCTTTCTTGGCCTATGTGGCGACACATTGCCTGTGGGAAGCTGCAGATAGAAAAGGACTTGGCTTGGCTATACTTTGAATTATTTGACAGTCTTGTTGAACGGACTTCAGAGGAGCGACTGGAATGGGCAGAGGTGATATCCAGCTGTGCAACTGAGGAGGAGGCAGAGAAGCAGAAGAATAAGGCATGGAATGTCATATTGTCACTTTTAATACTATGGGTGTATGCTCTTCATAGCAGCCTTACCGACCCAGGCTTCTCATGCACTCAGTGTGGAAGAAATGCCCCTGCCCAAGTACATTACATGCTGCATGTGAGCCACAATCCAATATGAGGTTAGCTGTTGGGCCACTGTAATTGCTTCTAGTTGTTAAGAAAATTAGCAGTGGTCTGTCTTTTTCTTTTCCACTTCACTACATGCTGCTAAATATAAAATAAGAACCCCTGCTAAATTATGTACTTGAATGTTCTTTAAAATAAACCTTTTTTAATCTCTGCTCAGTTGTCTGTGGACACTCTACAGTTCCTGCTGTTCCTTTATATTCAACAACTAAACAAGGTTTCCCTGAGAACATATCTACTTGGAGATGAGTGGCCGAGTCCTAGATCCAAGAATTACAGTCTGACTGGAGAATCCACCAATCAGATTAAGGTATTTCTTTGAGGTTCTTTGAGTTCTTCTTTCATCCATGCTTTGGTAACCATTAGGTTAAATTGCTGCAATGTGTTATATGTAGGGCTGCCTCTGAAGACGGTTTGGAAACTTCAGCTAGTGCAGAATAGGCAGCCTGGTTGTTCATTGGGCAAGATGGTTTTAGGATATCACACTGTTTCTGCTGACTGAACTGGCTGCCAATTCATTTCTGGGCCCGATTCAAAGTGCTGTTTTTGACCTATATAGTGGTACCTCTGGATGTGAACGGGATCTGTTCCAGAGCCCTGTTCGCATCCTGAAGTGAACGTAACACACGAGTGCGCGGGTTGCATTTTGACGTTTCTGCGCATGCGCGTGACGTCATTTTGAGCATCTGTGCGAGTGGCGAAACCCAGAAGTAACGTATTCCGTTACTTCCGGGTCGCCGCGGAGTGCAACCCGAAAATGCTTAACCTGAAGCGTGTTCATCCCGAGATATGACTAAAGCCTTAAACAGCTCAGGACTGCAATTCCTCAAGGACCAACTCTCCCCATATGAATGGACCTGAACCCTGTGATCATCATCCAAGGCCCTTCTTTGTGTGCCTCCACGAGATATCTGGAGGGTAGCAACACAAGAATGGCCCTTATCTGTGGTGGCAGCTCCTGGTTTGTGGAATGCTCTCTTCAGGGAGGCTTGCTTGGTACCTTCATTACATAGGCTTAGGTGTCAGGCGAAAATGTTTCTCTATAACCAGGCATTTGGTTGACTAACATTCTATGGCCTTTAAAATGTGTTTGTGGGAGGGGGTTATTGAATTGTTTTTGTTTTATTATGTATTTTGTGTTCTCATTTGTATTTTTATGTTGCGAACAACCCTGTAATCTTCGGATGAAGGGCAGTATTCTATTACAACCACCATCACCACCTAGGATTTTGTTTGTTTGAATGTCCATCCTGTATCTGATATTTTTCTGTTTTTATTCTTTTGGTCTAAGAACTGGAATGACAGCTATCAGCAAGACTTTATCCAGAACCATCTCCAGGATCTTCTCGAACTGTTGCTGGACCCGGATCAGCTCACTGCCTCCTCACATTCTACCCACAATAGCCTGATGTCACCTGAGGCTGTTCGCGCTCTTGGCTTTCTTATTGAAGGATGTGTGAACAGAAACAGTACCGTCCACCCTCTGCATGCGCTTGCACTCTGGCAGCCATTACATGCAAAGAGTGGCTACTCAAAGATCTCCAAAGCCTTCTCCTTCCCCAGGCTTGAGTCCTGGCTGAGGGCTTGTCTGACCGGGAACCCGTTTGGAACATCAGCTTGTCTCAAGTCTGGGAAGAAACTTGCATGGGCACAACAAGGTGCAGTTATTTCAGGCCATCAAAGCTTTGGCATAAGAATAAAATCTCCCTATTCTCTTGCTGTTATAAAATGGCTTCTTTCACTTTTTTAAAAGCAGTGTTTGATTTTATTCTTGCAGTTGAAGGAACAACCAAGCGAGCTAAGATAGCCTGCAATACTCATATGGTCCCTTCAGCACACCGCATCGTTGTGATGAGCCAAGTTTACAAGCAAACACTGGCAAAAAGTTCAGGTACCCTAGAAGATACGCACGTGAAGATTCATCGCTGCTGTGAATCCTTCATCTATTTGCTTTCTCCCCTGAGGTGAAAGAGCTTTCACCAGTCATTTTTTGCAACCACATTTCGAAGCTATGTGACCATTTTTGTTATGTTATTTTGCTCCAGCTTTAATTGGCTGCTTTCCCATCTTCTTCTTTCAGATCTGTGACCATAGAGAAGTGCAGGAATAGTACCTTTGTACTTGGCCCAGTGCAAACAGTAGTTCACCTCCACAGCTGTGACAATGTCACACTTATTGCTGTTTGCTGCCGTCTGTCTCTGTCATCAACCACCAGTTGTACCTTGCATGTTCTCACCCCAACTAGACCACTCATCTTACTGGGGAACCTAGCAATAACTTTTGCCCCCTTCCATACGCATTATCCAAAGCTTGAGGACCACATGGGCAGGACTGGCCTGGCTACCGTGCCTAACTATTGGGATAACCCAATGTTAGTATGTAAAGAGAACTGTGATCGAAATGTCTTCAGACTCCTCCCACCGTCAGAGTTTTACCCCTTTGTTGTCCCATTTGAAATGGAAGGAGACACCACAGAAATACCTGGTGGGCTGCCACCTGCGTACCAAAAGGCACTGAGTCAACGAGAACAGAGAATTCATATCTGGCAGAAGACCGTGAAGGAGGCGGGGCTGACCAAGTAAGTAAACAACCTTCTTCCAGGTAGGAAGAACCAGCTGCAGCAGCAGATAAGAACAAAATGTAGCAGTGTTAACAGATAAAAAGATTGCTATATGTATGTTGCTCAAATATATATTCACAATTTCTGCAAGACAGCTACAAACCATTTGCTAATCTTTTATAAGTTATAAACTTGTTAGCTAATGCTTTTTAAACTGACGAAACTGAGAAAAACACTACATTGATGCTTTTTAAACTGACTCACGAAACTGAGAAAAACACTACATTGATGCTAAACATACTGTGCAACCTGCCACCATTTCTCTAAAAGTACTGCGCAGATGTGCAAGTAAATTTTCATTGAATTAACACCTAGATGGGATTGCTTGGATATGATGTTTACTATCTGATTTGCTCTCATATAGCTGCAATCCTGTGCACGTTTACTTGGGAATAAGACAACTGAACACAATGGGGCTTAATTCCAAGTAGAAATGGATAAGATCAGGCTGCATGTCTCAACATCTTTTGGCCTACATCCTAACCAATGGAGCCATGGTAGACCTACTTGGTCAGGCGTGTCCTTTGTCCAAGCTTTAAGAATTCTCTTGTCTTCCAGAAGCACCCCAAACTTATAGTTATTTTAAACCTCATCATTTCAGAGGCAGTTTGAATAAGGTTTGAATTCACATGATTGGCCAAGTCATCCAGTTTCCACTTAGAGTTAGTAGAATCCGCAATGTGTGGGGCACGAATGGTAAAAATTAATAGGAATTAATATACAAACTCAAAGCCATCTTGGTTAGAGGTTCCCTTTCACCCAAGAGCATTTAAATAATCTCTACCCTCAAAGTATACAAAAAGATGCCCACCCAAAGCAAAACCCCATGAACAAATTGCCTGCTTTTCCTTGCAGAATTCACACCTTTTATTGCAGGGTTCCTACTCCTCTGATGGGCAGAAATAAGTTCAACAGATTTTAAAAGACACAGGAGTGTAATTTAACTATCACTCACCTGTTCTGTTTTCAAAAGTGTCCTGCTCTCTTCTCCAAGAAGGTAAACAAAAACAGTTTGAAATATATTTTGTGGAGGAAAGGTTTCCATATCTTTGAAAATTGATAAATATAGCTCTCCAACATGTAGCAGTACTTAAATAGTAATGAAATTAGGTAGGACCATGAAAATCGCACCCCCCCCCCCACAACCAGAACTTCTGGTTCATGTGCATGCACTTCAGCAAATATTTTCATTGATGGGTCTTACATTCACTGTATGCATTATACTGCTAATCTTTTACTGGATTTCAGGGACCAGAGAAAGACGTTCCAGGTGTATGTGGAGAACAAGTTCAACGAATGGCTCGTTCAGACAGGCAGTCGCCAACAACTTGACAGCCTGGTGCTTCCTGCTGCAGGTTCTAAGCAGGCAGCAGGATAGGAGAGCTTTTGAAGTACACAGTTATTTGGTGAGTCCGGAGGCCATGTTCTCTTCTGCAATTGTGAAAAGCTTGCATATTGTCTTTCACACAGTTTACAAACTAGAATTGCTCAGATGGATCACTTCGTAGGTCCAGATAGTCTGGCACCCCTCTACCTGTGGAGGATGTTCCTTAAAACTAAACAGTTTGTCTCCTTTGTTTCCTTCTCTTTCTCTCCCCACTTCCCTGGCGGACTCTGTTTCTTCCTCAGTTTGGGGGAGGGGTGTTGTCTTAATTAATTAATTAAATTAATTTACTAAAATTTAGATACCTCTTGATTGTAGAAAAAACATCAAAGCGGTTTAGTTTGAACTGAAGAGGCAGTCAGAGGCTTTGCTGGTTTGGTGCAGTGCGAAAACTCAGCAAGGATGCATTGTCCATTTCCATGAGGGAGAAGGTCAGAGGCTCTTCTTTGCAAGTACTGAGCTTCAGATTATGGTTGTGCAAATATTACTGTTTACTTCAGCTCCAGTGCACTCCCACTGCTGGTTTTTTGTTTGTTTAATAAAGCGTTTATTAATTTTCCAATAAAAACATCCAATTAACGTATGAAATCAAATCCAATAAAACTAAAAAACTAAAATAAAAAAGTCCAATTGTCTTCTAAATTGTAATAATTTTTGTTTTGGCTTCCCACGGTCTGAATTCTGAAGCGCTTTCAACATCATAGTCCTGCCTCTCATCATCCTCAATGTTTTTCATAATTCCATATCCGATTTTTTCCTCCACGTTTTGACTCTGATTCTGCGATCCTCATTCATCTCAGAAAACAGATATTTTTTTTCCTATGGAGTGCAGATTTGTCCGTATATTGTACTCTTTCAGCTGTTTTGGTTTTTTCATCGCACCGCTTCATTTAATTGCATCCAATTTCAAAGTTCTGTCCAGCTCTTTGAGAATTGTTATTTTGGCAGCCCCCAAATCGTTGATCTTTCCCATCCAGGTGTTATCAAAGAAACAGAGAGAAATCTCCTTCTTTATTCTTAAGCAGACTGTTTGCAATGTAGCCATATATCAGACAGTTAACAATTGGCCTTTGGAATCCACCCAATCCCCCCTCCGGACTCTGGCCCTCTCTCTCGCTCATAATAAAAAACATCTTTTTGCAAACAGTTGTATATATAATATTGTTTCCAGTCTTTATGACCAACCATCAGTTAGCTCCTGTTTCTCTTAATCAGGGAAGTATTTCAGATATTCCATAAGTGCGTGGTGGGTAGAAGCCATTTTGTCCTTTGTTCTTTGTTTTCGTCTTTAACAGGCATTTCAAATCTTAGAAGAAAAGCGGCTGCGAATAGGTCCCAATTATACATGAAAGTCCATCTGTATTCACTTTTTGAAGAGCAATTTAGGTTCTTAATGAGGCTTGGCATGCAATACAAATTGTTAATGTTAGAGTGAGAAGAAAAAAACATACCAATCCCCTCCAGATTCCAAACATCATGATGAGGATCTCTTTGAAGTTCGATCTTTTGCACCAGAGACTGTACATACTGCAGGTTTTTCCCCAGCTTCGTCAGTTCAGAGTGTGTCTGTTTGTTTTCCAAATCTTTATATTTTCCCAAACAGTTGCGTCCGGCTATGGGGAGGCGTCGCAGGAGTGTCAGTCTGTCCCTTGCTCTGTGACCCAGTGCCCCTGCCGTCTGCCACATCGGCAATCTGGGGCAAACCGCGGGTCGTCGAGACAGTCCTCCCCTGCCCTGGGGAGGCTGCCAGGGCTAATTACCCCCATATCAGCTAATATCAGGGCTAATTACCTGAATTATTGGAACGGCTGAGGTCCGATCATGTGGGATCCGCCATTTCCCACCGCCGGAAACAGGAAGTGCCCACTGCTGGTTTTTGAAGCAGAGTACACATGATGTCACCCATAACTGATATGCATTCTCTGGTTTCTTGAGAAATCATGTTGCTTTATGTGCTTTCCCTCAAACCAGTTTTTATCTGGTTTGAACATATAAGGTACAGCTAAGCTGAAATGTGCACGTTTTGCACATGTGCAGATGATGGCTTCATTGAATAGAATTGGTTTTGTGTGTGCAAACAAATTAGGTAACGGTGTGTACAGCAACATAAAAATGCAGCTTGAAACACTGTGTGTGTAGGGGTCGAGGAATGCCCTTAACTGCGTTCCAGGCTGCTAATGTGTACACGCTGAAAGCTCTGCATTATGTGAAGCTTCTGAATGCCTCTAAAGACCAGTGAGAGGTCCAAGATGAACCACTGCCCATCTCTCACTGTGAACATGAGAAGGTATCCAAAATACGCTTTCCACTGGTTGTTCTTTCCTGAAGCCTAAGTCTTTGCATCATCTCCCTCCTCAACTTCTAACTCATTTTACTCCATGTTCCTTGTATTTCCATTTAAAGCACTGTGTCATTCGTTATACTGGTTCTCTCCATTTCCCTTCTTTTCTGTCATATTCTGCGCAAGCTCTCCTGTTTGTTCTTTTAATCCCATCTTCAGAATATCCATTGTGCCACTCTGTGCACAGAACAACCTAGCTCTTGTTCTCTGTCGTGCTGCTACCTTTTGCCTTTGAAAACATACTGCTTCAACAGAGTCTTAGTGACTTCTTTAGTACCTAGTTAACTGTTCTCTATCTCAGTGTCACTAAAGCTGTAAGGTCAGACATGGCCAAACTTGGCCCTCTAGCTGTTTTGGGACTACAACTCCCATCATCCCTAGCTAACAGGACCAGTGGTCAAGGATGATGGGAACTGTAGTCCCAAAACAGCTGGAGGGCCAATTTTGGCCATACCTGTATAAGGTCATTCCATCTCTTTAGTATTCTCCACAGCACTGATATAAAGCAAATGCTTTATATCGGTATATATATTGGTATTTGATTAAGGTTCTGATACTTTTATTTCATTCTTGTGGCAGTTGCATAGTGGTGGTGAACTAAACTGGAATTTTACCCACATGATGACGTTTTTGTAGTGGAGTGTGTGTGTGTACATGCAAGAGAGTGAGAGAGTGTGATGCCAGCTAATAATTGCTGTGTAGTCAGAAAGCAATGGGATTGTTGTTGTTTTGTAAAGAAGCAATGGGATTGTTGATTGCTGCATTCAACAAATACAATCTGTTTATCTGCTTTGTTACAGTTCTAGAGATGAACTTTGCAACACTGAAAGTGTTTTTACTGCAATAGACTGGAGCCAAGCTGATTAAAACTCTTATGGCATTGCTAATGAATTTGGAAACTTGAATTTGCTTTGTTTATTGTCAAGGCGAGGATCGACTTTTTCTCCCTGTTACAGCTGTCATAGTATCTCTCTTCGTTCTACACCTTTCTCAGACAGCCAGTATCTATAGAAAACAAGCCAAGACTTTGCTGTTAACACTTCTATCTATGGCTGAAATGAAATTTATGTATAAAGGTACCCTGAAAAGGACTTTTACTTTCCTGGTGTGAAGATAGGAATAAGGTTCTGGCTGCTGAATGAACTTTTTCACTTCTATTAACTAAATTTGTATTGTATAAAACTCACAGATGTATTTTTATACCAGTTGTTTAACACTTCAACTATGAAATTTGATTAAATTCACGTGATTTCTTTTGTTTCTTTTTCTTCTTTTCCGTATTTTAATTAAAAATGACCTTTTTCAGTATTGTCATTATACAACATAATAAGGGTCAAGGAGGCACTGTTTTTCCTCTTTAAAAAAACCACTGGTATCCTTCTCAGTCCCCTGCTCCCTTAAAATACTTTACAGATAGAGCATTCTCATCTGAAACATTCATTTCACTCCAAAGATGGATATACACATTGTGAATCCATAAGGTGTACTGATTTACCTTTTTCTGAAGACACACCTAGGTAGGACAGTGAATTAGCCCAGGCAAAAGTTTTTCGAAATGGGAAGGTAAGGAAGTGAAATAACATGTGTCCAGGTCATCTATGACAACTGTAGGCATAACAATTTTGAACAAAAGTTGTTCAATTATAAAAAGTTAGTGGTTCAAGATATCTCCTGTTGCACCTTGTTAAAAGGAAAAGAAAGTCATTTTGCCTGCAATCCTATATATATATATATATATATACTTAGGAGTAAACTCTATTAAACTTATTTTAAGGCTTATTTCTGAGTAGAGCTGCATATTTCTCCCCTTCTACTCACATTTTGCAACTTTTCTGTCATTCTGTGTATAAAAGTGGAGGGAGAGGGATTGTTTGTGTACTTGGTGTTGGCTAAATTTGAATGCTAACATGGATGACAAAGTTAAAATCCTTCCTTTCTGAAATCATGGTGGTTTTTCTAATTAACTAAAACTATCTAGCTCTTGTATGCAGTGGGAAAAAATATTCAAGGTAATCAAGGTTTTAACATGGATGTCTTTCACATCATCAAACCCCAGAAGTGCTTTGTTATGCTTCTCATCTATAATGACTTCAAAGCATGCACGCCTAATTGGTCTAATACTACAAATGTCAGCTCTCATTAATACTCTGGATTCATAGTGCTACGAGAGCCATCTTAAAATTTTCCATTTACAAAGTCACATTTTCTTTAAAGCAGCAGAAACTCCCAGTTGAATAACTCTTCATTTTTATAGAAGAGGACTGAAATGCAAGTTTCTAGGTTCAATTGTTGCAGAATTAATGTCAGAAACCGTGATAATAGTACACTAAAAGCTCAAACATACTGAAGAGGAGCACACACAGATCAAATGTCACCGTATTCCTAAACCCATTTCACGTTTTTAAGAATTAATATTCAAAAGTATACCTCAAAAATTACATCTTGCATATATTATAGATTTTGGAAAGAAGCCTGCCACAGATTGCAGTTCGCTACTTTCAAAACAGTTCTATTTATTGCTCTGGTGAACAAAGCATTTCCAATAATATGTTTGTTCAGATTTCTTTATCCTGAAGTCTTGGGAGTAGGTTGCCGTAACTTAAAATGAACAAAATAAAAAAAATGCCCCAATCCTGTTCCATACACTGCAAAAATGCTGCTTCCCATGTTGCTTTTTAATGGTATGGGGATGAATCTTTTATGTTGGGGGGGGGGACTAATGGAAGAAGGCACGTTAAGTGAGGATGTTCCAATAAGCAGGAATGAAGAAGCGTGCAACCCAAACATAACACTGTTTGCTGGAAGAAATCCCAATTGTTTTGAAAGAGCTGTTAGTGTTGCTCCCCCCTCACCCTTCTGAAACCTGTGCAATCATGTGCAAAGAACGTGGTGGCTTTTTGGGTACATGGGAATGGGAAGAATTCAAAACAGAAAATCGCTGCAGGGTTCATCTGGTGGAATTTTTCTTTAGGTCGAAGAAGAGAAGGCTGGGAAGATAAATTGAAATAATGAAAAAACACTCTTTACAAACAGTAAAAGTGCCTTCTAGTCTTTGGAACAACTTGCAAAATCTGATCCAGCAGAGGTCTGGGTCAGCAGTCACATCGAGGGAGGCCATTTTTGCCAGTTCCCTCCTACTGCAGGCCCCTGCTGTGTGCTCCAGAAGGTTGGGGGGCAGTAGCTAACCGAGGTTTTTATACTACATTGCATTATTATTATTATTTTGCAAAGCTAGTAAACTGCAACACGTTTTTAAAATGTGTTTCTCTGCATAACTACCATTCTAAGTAGTAATAGATTGATAGAAATCCAGACCCTAGCAGTCCTCTTAAATACAGTTTACTTAATAATGTAAGAAATCTCAAGGAGTTTAATGCTAGAGGTTGCATCTGATGGTGTTCATCCACTGATGGGAGGCTCTTTGAGTCAGAGGAGGCTTCTGTCAGCAGGAGGGAGATGAGAGGCATCTTTGGCCACTTCCTCCCATGCAACCTCTCACACTGTTCTAAAGGGTCCTCCAACCTTCTGGAGCAAAATAGAGGGAGGCCGTGGGAGGAGAAATTGTCAAAAATGCCTCCCTGGTACTGTGGACAAACCCCTTCTGCATCAAAGAGCCATCAGTGGAGGGACACCATTGGATATGGCCCTGCCTAGGCCTTTTCCCATTTCTTCCAGTGGATGCTGAATCCTTGTAAAGCTGGGATGGAGAAGTACTGGTCCTCAGATGTTGCTGAACCACAGCTTCCTTGACCATTGGCCATACTGGCTGGCTTTGCTGGGAGTTGGAATCCAACAGCTGGCGGGTCACATATTCCCCATTTCTCTTGTAAAGTTTTGGGGTACCCTTTCTCCTGTCTCAAATAACCAAAGAATGCCAAATAGATGGGGGAGAAAGACAGCTGTAAACCAGCTTACATTTAGGTTTTTTTTTCTTTTAATGTCTCTGACATTTCTTGGCTAGCCCATGTCTTCTGAAATTATTTTCTCTTATTCTCTTAATCTCTCTTCTGTCCCGTCCCCCCTTTCTTCCACCAATAAATCCATTTTGGGATTTTGCTGTTAAATAACGTCCCAAGTGTATGGGGATATTTTGCTAGCTGGTTGCACTGATGAGTGTAATGAGCGTCTAGTTAATTTTTTGAGCTGTACCATTTCAAACTTTTTTAAATCTTCCCACACAAAGGATAATTAAAGCTCAAATTGTTCTGTAGAAAGTAAATTGCTTCTAAGAGCGCCACACTGAAATTCAACCTTCTGAGCAATTAATTGTGTGCATTATTGTGCATATTGTAGTTTCCTGCTCTTAAACATGCCAGTTGGCAAGTATTTTAATATCTAGAAAAATGTGCAGGATTTGGCTCATCGAATTAGTTTTATTTTGTGTGTGTCTCTGTGCTGCATGGTTTAAATCCTGCTCATTTGTCTTCTCCCACATCCAACTCAATGTAACATCTGAATGTAGCTGATCTCAAGTCATGATAAAAACTGGGCTGATTGCGCACAATTCAATCTTCCTTTTATAGATCTGGATCCTTCTTATCACTTAGGCAATGTTTTTGGGTTTAGCAGTGGTCTTTGCCACATTGGATAGCTTGGTGAAAACAGATTTAGGAACTCCTTTGGTATTCTGTAAATGTGGTTCGTTTAGTTATAAGGTCAAATGCTTGAAAATAACACAGTAGAAGCTTAATTGTGTGGTCGATTTAGCCTTAATTCTGAGTAGAGTAGCAATCCAGAGGACATAATGGTAGGTAAAGTTTAGGGCTACAATTTGTGAATCACCAGCATTCTGGGAATAAATTGGTAAGGGCTAGTCAAAAGCAAAGGAGTGTTCGCTTTGCTAAACACACTAAATTGATCTCAAATGGGACAGAGTCTCAAACAAAGATGTGCTCTCCCAAGCCTACATTCCCAGCATGTTTGCACTCCTATCTTGGTAACGTCTGCACTGACTTGTCCACGGAATGAAAGATGGCAGGATCTCCAAGGACAGGGAGCTGGCTTCATGTACCAGGCTCCCTGGCAGACTAACTCTGTGTTATTCCAAAGATGCCTGCAAATGCGAAATGAAGGCTAGCAACATCAACCCCTCCATGTAGGAATCCCTTGCAGATGACTGCAGTGCCTGGAGACAGGCAGGTTGGGTAACCATAGCAGTAACCAGAGGAGGAATGATCACTGGGAGGAGCACAGAGAGAAGAAACTCCATGGTGCATCTGCAGCAGCACAATTGGACCTTTATCTGCCCCAGCTGCAACAAAACATGTCTCTCCTGTATCAGGTTCTACAGCCACAGCAGGTGCTGCAACCTTCCAACAAGTTGACTTCACCCTCAAAGGCTCACTCCTTTATTTTCTCCTGAGACAGACAAATGCCAACTCTAAAAGGTAAAGGTAAATGACCCCTGACAGTTAAGTCCAATCGTGAACAACTCTGGGGTTGCAGCCCTCATCTCGCTTTACTGGCTGAGGGAGACAAGAGTTTGTCCACAGACAGTTTTTCCAGGTCACATGGCCAGCATGACTAAGCCGCTTCTGGCGAGCCAGAGCAGCGCACGGAAATGCTGTTTACCTTCCCGCCGGAGTGGTACCTATTTACTTGCACTTTGACATGCTTTCGAACTGCTAGTTTGGCAGGAGCTGGGACCGAGCAACGGGAGCTCACCCCATTGCGGTCGAACCACCGACCTTCCGATCAGCAAGCCCTAGGCTCAGTGGTTTAGACCACAGCACCACCCGTGTCGTGTCCCCAACTCTAGCCTCAAGGTATTTGCAGTGGAAACATAGATGCCCCTAATGAACTCTGGAGACAAGGTTTGCTTAACAAAACCCTCACCTCACCAATACCACAGAGGAATTGCTCTGTGATATTGCCCCCTTCAGTCTGTAGAGCTTAGAGGCCCAGGGCAGGAATCTTGTTGAATAAAATTATAAACTCAAACAAAAAAGCAGCTGGTCCTTGCTGCTGACCACAACTGGCTTAGCCTTCTGAGGCCCAGGACAAGTGGCTACCCCTCCCGCTCTGCACAGGCCTGGCTCCTTTTGTCCCAGATCCTCAGAATAATAAAAGCCCTATCATTTGCACCCACTTCATATAATAGTTTTAGGTGTATACCTAAAAACTCAATGCCCAAAGCCAAGTGGGTACAATATGTGATAGCAAACCTAGGTTTGCTGTTGTGTGATGCGCAAAGCATTCCCATATTATGGTCTACAAATAATACATGTTGGCACCACACAGAAGTTATTTTTATGGACC